ATTGTTACAAAGTGTGAAAATGAAGAGATTTATATACAGACAAATCTCTCATCAACGGACTAATAGGGGTGATGGGTGGTCCGTTAAAGCCGATTGTCCATAGATAGGAAGGGATTATTTTTGAGTTATAAAACCACTATAGTAGCTATCATTAGTTATGATCATAATGTAAATACTATAAACATGTATATATGACATAAATAAATATATACTTAATATAGATATATTAATCAAAATAACAAAATAATAGATTTCTCGCAGCTACTTTCTCACGCACGTGCTAATGCATCATACTTTATATACTGTACACCCGTCTTTGTTTACAACTGAAAGGCCAGCCACCGTCGGCAAGAGGTCACTTAGAAAACTAATATGACTCATTCTGCTAAGTCCACAAATTTTGAAATACATCGTTGAGGATTTGGAAGTTTTTTCCTGCAGATTTTTTTTTATTTTGCCTGCAGATTTTGTACATTGCATCCGAAGTCCATTGTGGGGGGGGGGGATCCAGAGATGAGAGGTTTGTCAGTACAATTTTCTTTTTTACTTTTTAAACACATACAGATATTGTATCTATTTTTAAGGTACATGGCAAACATTAACACAGGGTAAAATCATGCCATTTAGTTCTTGGGAATTTAATACAAGACTGACCACAGCAGAGATAGGGAATTAAGTACCCAATCAATAGTGGCCAGTCAAAAATTATGGTATCTCTATACATGTATACATGAATTCATACATCAATCTTCCTTATATAATTATGAGCAAACAAGCAACACCAAACAACAATTCAATTTACTGAAGATGAATGGAGAGCCTCTGAAAGCTGGGAAAATGGAATTTCCAATTTTTCCAATGCCAAAAATCAATTTTTTGGCACTTTAAAATTTTTTGTTTTTTTATTAAATCAAGCTAATAACCAGTAAAAATATTTTTTTTACTTTAAAATTAAATAATCTTTTTTGTATTTTTATATAAATGATATGCAAATAGCTAAAAGGTAGAGATGACTGAGGATGGAAATTTTTTTTTATTATTGTTCTTGTAGTTGTTGTTGTTGTTGTTGTTGTTGTTGTTGTTCATAATAATAATAATAAATAAAATAAACATAATCTATACCCTTTGAAAAGCAAAAAGCTTGATATATCTATCATTAAAAATGTTTTGATATAAGTGAAGAAAAACTTCTGGTTCAAAAACTTATTCATGGTTCACTGAAGATTTAGAAAATGAAACCTGTGATATCATACTAAACAAAAACACCTGAAATCAGCAATATGATTCATATAAAGAAAAACATTTTTCAAAAGTATATTTAACTTTCCTAAAGATAACACCATGAAGAATCTTTTAAAAGAAATAATTAGTAATGGTTGATTTTAGTTAATAAGTAATACAGCAATATATACAAGGTGAGGTATGTTTGCAATTTATCAGGTATATATGAATTTCTATTCCAAAATAAATGTCCATAACTTATCTTTCTGAATATGAATAGATAAGATATATTCAGTAGATGAAATTCTAGAAGATTCATATTCCTGTAAAGTTCATGAGATCATCAAGCAGTTGGTGAAACATTTCTTCAAGATTTTGTGGAAAGCAAAAAGAGTTCAGCAGGTTTTTTTGTCATTTTTAATAGAATAAGTAATTCTATGTTTGCTTAAAAAGAACGACTAGGCTTGTCAAATTGGGAAAGTTTTATGCAGTTATGAAGTAGATGCTATTTACTTGTGACACAAGAGAGGATTTTACAAGTACTGCAAAAATTTATTTAATCACTAGAAAAATGGCAAAATATCCAATCTGTATTATGGACTTACTTTTATTTTTTTTTAAACTGAGTTGTTACCCACTTTATTAATGAAGTTTAAAATATCCACAAGTATTTTAAAATGCTGTCCTGAAAAAATAATTTTGGGTATTCATGAAGATATTTGTAATGTCAAGAATTTTAGATAGAAGGTACCATTTTTGAAAATGTGTTTTCTCTTTGTTTTTTTAAGAAGGCTATTTGACAAATGAAAAGTCAATGTTTGTACACAGAGACTGTATGTCCCATATATGAGTTAGGAGCATTTTTATACAGGAAAGGCAATCTCCTAATGGACCAGAGAACTCCTGTTCAACTGTTTTGTGCTAACTTGGAAAAAATCTTTTTATTCTTTATAACAGAGAGATTACAAGAGGATAAGATAAGGATTTATTTCATAAAATAATTCAATGCTAATTTTTATAAATGAAAAAAAAAAAGAATTTACTAGTGACCAATATTCTTAAATTATTACAACTACTGATCAGTTCTTGATTAAAATATGAAATAAACACACAGTAAGGGCATCGTGATCATTTGCTAGGAAGGAGCAACACACAACCTTTTCTCGTCATCTTGGACTCTTGCTATTTAATGGGTAAGACGAAATGCAGGAAAATGAAAGTAGAAAGACTGGATTACACTGAACCTTCAACTGGTTACAATTGGTACTGCTTGCATTGA